ATGAGGGGATGGTTCAGTTCGGAGTTCCCTCATTCCCTGATTCCACTAAGGAAATGAAGTTTGACCCCGTGTAACAAGTCTTGATGTTGGATGCTTGAAAACGGATATCAAGGACACACCTAAGGTGACAAGTTAAACAAAACGGCTAAGTTTTGCTAAAGGCAGGGAGCCGCCCTGAAGAAGCGTCTTGGCCTGGACGTCCCCCACATCCGCACTGGTTTGATCCTCAGCCCAAGGCACCGAATCCCTGGGCCCAACAGAACCCGAAGGTGAGAGTTACATGCAGATTGACATGACGGCACAGGCGCTCATACACACACCAAAACAAAACAAATATATCATATCCAGGAAACAACCGAGTGGCTGTTCCTGTCAACAGTGGGAGCTGTATCAAAAATGGGTTTCAAATTTACCGCTGCAAGCAACCCACCAAATGTCCCACGAGTTTTCGCGGCCAACCGGCCTGAACTTTGCGACTTCCCCGCTTGAAGTACCTTCATGAAAGCGCGCGGTCCAGAAACTAAGGGTCTCCCCTATTAAAAAAAGAAGAAACAACAACTAAAACAAACCTACTAGATGCTAGAAGGCAATACTTGTCCTCTCTGCAAACCATGGAATATTGGGTGGGTCATTTTTGCAGGAGATTCCTCTCATGGATGGCGTTGGATTGCTTCCACCTTGCAGGAGAAGCAACGCCAGCCTAGTTCTTAAAAACACATATACACACAAGGGCAAAGCTGAAGGTAAATCAACTACGGGGCAAAACATAATACGAGGAAACTGCCCCAGCCAAACCGGAAGAAAGTTCAGCAAAAAAAGAGTGCCAGTTAGCACCCAGAACCAAAGAGACCTTCGTCCGGATTGAACTGGGGTCAGTAAAACCAACAGGCCGCAATCAGGATGTGCCCAGTAAACCCCAATTCTCAGCCACCCTGCAATTGGTTTGAATTCTTGCTTTGGAGTGGGTGGTTTCCCACCCACAAGAACCAGTCCAATCCATAAACTAAGGGGAACCTGATGTAGCCCAGACTCGGAGCGGCAGCCGGTGATCGCAACCACCTCCCCCACGGCGAGGCCCACGTTCTCCTCCTGAGCCAGGTCTCGTCATAGAAGCCAAAAAAATAGAAGGCAAGCGTCAAGGCTATGCAGTAAGGTTTTCCAAATACGTCACTTCAGTCTGCAGGAAATTCTAGAGGACACTTGACAAATACTCACCAAAACCAAGCTGATTTCCAGTAGCATGTTCCTTTTTGCTTGAAAGGGGGGCCCCACATTCCCCAGATTTAAACATCACCTTTTGGGAAACTTGAAGATTGAAAAGTCCTCCCAAGCGCAAGAACAAACTAAGTCCCTCGTAGGCCCAATCAGAAGCTGCTAGTTTCATAGGCCACTGCAATTCCAAAAGTCAAATCACACCGATTCGATCCGATTCGGTTGCGGGCACATTCTCAAAGATCCGAGTATTTACTGTGTCCATTGCAGTGACATCCTAAAGATCACCCTCTCGTCTCTAAATGAAAGTTTCAAGGGACACCACCCGAGGGAATTTTCAGAACCCCGCCTCAAATGCTCACTGAGGACCCGGTTGGCCCCACCCCAGCCCCTCTTAAGAGGCACCTCCTGTATCCCTCTTTGTTTCGCCAGTTCAAGGGGCTCAGTCAGCTTTGAGGTGCCCAGTCAAAGGTCCATGCGCAAAGATCCAAGGACTCCTCGTCGGTAGCGAAGCCGCTGCTGTCGGCATTCTCGGCCGCTTTGCGCTGCTTCCAGAGGCCCCAAAGGCCGAGGCCCATAGAGGCCGCGTCCTGCGATCTCCGGAACTGGAAATCATGAGGGCCCAAGGTTCTACATGGACATGTGTGTGTGTGTGTGGTTGAGGGGGTGCTTGCATGTGGGCAGATTGGGGAGAGGGATGTAAACCTCCTGCCACCAAACAATATATTTAAAAAAAACTTCCGAGCGTGGTCGTCAGTCTTAGCCAAGGGGTTTGGGGGCAAGGCAGCGAAGCGCGACTCCAGTGGCCTTGGCGATAAGCGGGCACCCGTGATTGATTAGTTGATTTCATAGGGACGCTCCCCTCCAAAAACAAGGGGAAAAAGGGAGCACCACTAAAAGTCTGGGAATCTATCCAATTAAACAATCTGACTCCGCCCAAGTGATATATCTTTTTTGAGGCCACCCTTTTGGACGCTTTCAAGGGAAAAGGGAACTCACTGAGTTTGAGGGATCCCGTATTTTGGGACAAACCCGTATCCTCCAATTCTCCTGAAGACAATGGAACTCCACGGACAACCACGTTTTTTTTTTTTTTTTTAAAGAAAAAGAACAGAAAAAACAACACCCTTCTTCACAACTCACGGCGGGTTGAACACGCCAACTTGCGCTTGCCCGGTAACTCCGGCAGAACAAGAATTGGAACAAACAAGGGCTACCGTTTTTAGTGGCAAACAACTATTGAATCAAAAAACATGCCGGAATGAACCAAAGCCTTAAATGCCTACAGGGGAAACCTCAACTCGACGGCAGGGCAACCCTCCACCCCTCCCCAATTCGCATTCACGGCCTGCAGGAAGGCCACCGGGTCGCCGGACTGCATCGCCCGGAGGTCCCGTATCCAGTCCTTGGACATCGCCATGGACACCGCCTGACGCCAAAACCTCAAACGGACCTTCAGATCGCGGGGCTCTCTCGGTTCGAAGGCCAAAACGTTACCGGAGCTTTGGAATTTGGTGAATGCCACAGAGGTCCAAACCCTGGAAAAGGTTCAGCGAACGTTGGCACAATTTCCCATCTTAGGTTTACTTACCCAGCCACAATTAACATGGAGCCCAAACAAGCACCATTGGAAGAAACAACTCCTGAGGGACCCTTCTTGTTGGTTCCATGTCAATTTGCAGGAAAGTATCCTCCCTGGCGAAAAATATACCTTCCTTGCTTGGGCAATGGGTTCAAAGGCCGACCACCCAGCCAGAGGACCTGGAAATCGGTTCACCTCCGCCAACAAGGGAAACCTAAGAGCTTTGAGCGGTTGGCGGGCAACCTCGCATTTGCTAGTTTGCTCGTTGTCTTGCAGCCAACTAAACAAACCCTGCTCAATTGCTCGTCCCCGAAAACCAAACAGAAAAGGCTTGGACAAAATCACCAAATGGTCCATGCCCTTTGGGATGGGGCACGGGCGATCCATCACCTTGGACCCACAAGCTCAAACAGATCCCTGAGCAGACCCCCAGCCATGCGAAAAGAAGGGCACTCTTACTTCGGTACTTGATCCTAAAAGGAAGCTCCGAAAAGAACAAAACGCGGAGCAAAGGAAGCAACCGCACTGGGTATCTGGGATTCAAGCCACCAGGGGCAATGGGATGGACAGACTCCTGTTGGCTTCCAGCTCCTTTAAACCTTACAAACCTTTGAAAGAATCCCCAAAGGGTGTGGTTTCCAGATGAGACCAAAATAATACCATGACGGATCCCCTGTGAGGCATGTTCAGGTTCAAAGTGGCGCAAACGCGCCTTGCCGGCCAGGGCTTGCTTCAGGTTCTCTTGGGTGCCAGTGAAGAGGTAGGGAAGGTTCAGCACCTTAGGGGCTTGGGACTTGTAACCATTTGGGTTTGTCTCTTAAAAAGCCTCTGAAATGTTTGGTGCCCCCGTACCCCATAGCTGTCGGCTGGGGGAGACACACCTGAATTGTTAAACCTCCGTTTGGCTTGCCTAAAGGGGCCAGGATCTGAATGTGTTTCACACGCATGTTGCCGCCAACCTGTGCCAAACATGGGCCGCCTTTTGGGATGGTGACGTTGGGTGCCACTTTTTGAGGTTGCGGGGGATAGCGGGGGTCATAGTGTTGACCCGCCCGGGACGACGCACTGGTCGCCCCCCTGACCTTACAGCCTTCAGGGGTGAGAGGGATGTCGGCTTCATACAGTCCCCAGGCGACTATGGAACGAAGAAAGGGGACTCCCGAAGTCACCCGCATCTGGCAAATCAACCATACTGTGATACCAAAGCGGGCCTCAAATCATCTCAAATCCCCATTGCCACTTTATTACTTTCAAGATAATCCATTTGGTGTGGCAAAAGGTGGACCCGATATCCAATTTTCCACAATCACAACCATGGAATACCATGGTCACCCACCCTTCTTTCCCCATACAAAGGCACTTGGATGGATCAAGGCAAACAGGAACTCCCAGCTTTCCGCGCCAGAAAACTCGAATGTAGAAATCTGCGACCAACAAGTGAGGCTTTCAAATCAACAGCTAAGAAATCCGAGAGTCAAGTCCAACAGCTTTCTTCTTGAATGCCGAGAAACCTTAATGCCACGCAGGTTTCTGCAATGCTCATTGCTGTCTTAATGGGTTGGCCTTTGACATCTTAAATGCTATATAGTGTTGTTTTCGTTTTTCTCTGAGGAAACCAGGGTCAAACAAAAAGAGACTTGCCACGCAACAGTCAAACCAAGCAGTCAAGGTTTCCTACTGGAATGCTGGGAAAACACCGTCAAAAAGTTAAACTGATCGCTGGGGAGCCAGCGACAACTCAAGGTCAAAGGTCAACCGGAGGTAGCTTTTGTTTTTAGTCCCGTAACAATGGCATGCTTAGATTTTAGTCCGCACTTTGGCAACGCTGAAGTTGTGCAACGTCATCATAGCAGTGCACACTTCTCTTGGAAGTGGCTAGAGCTACCGCATCGTCCTTCCCAATGGACAGCTGAGACACTGCTCAAAAAAATAATCACCACATTTCTTTCAGAAGCATATTTAAGGTGTCTTGTTGCAGGGCACACAGCTCCTTAAGAGTGTCAGGATCATCAGTAGTTTGTTCAATCATGGGGCGGCAAACCGCCCTCTGAGTCAATCGGAGACTCGTGGATCTCGTCTTCACGCTGACAGGACGCATCCGACGGGTTGAAATGAATGGACAAAACACGTCGCAGCTTTCAGGCACATTACATGGGGTTAGCATCGCTTACCCTAAAAACCAAGCGGTTGCCAAGAACCCCAGGTTGCTCAATTGGAAAGTGGCCAAGTTGTTTAGACCCAAAGGCCAAAATGGACCTAAACGTCGATCATTTGGGTGACCCGTTGAATGTGTTCCAGATGCGCACAGTGTTTTTTGGTGCAAGTTGCGTCCAACCCAAGTGGCAAAGACCTTCTCACCTCTAAGCCATGCATATCCAGCCTGAACCATACATTTCCCTGTAAAAACCTCGCTCCTACCAAAACGGGCCAACAAGGAACCTGCTTCTGTCGAGGCGCACCGCCGCTGTGGCAGCAGTCCATGAGACAGGTCAAGCGGCACCCGGCGGGCAAAGGCCTCACCAAGGTGTCGAAGAGCTCAGTGTCCAAAAGCATCCCCTCCACCTCGTAGTCCTCCAACTTGGATTCCGAAACCCACTTTTTTCGTTGGATTCCGAATCCTGGAGATTCATTTTGTTCTCGTTCGGGAAATAGCCAAGCGACTATATCAATAATACATCATGCAACAAGCAACTCCGCGACAAGTGCAACAATAGTTCACAGACAGAAAAGAAGGGAACCCTATGAAAGGAATCTTCATCATGGGTGACGTCACAAACCGCCGGAACATGATGATGCTATAACTTGCGCAGACCGGTAGAACAGTATGGACAGGCCTTCAAAGTACATCGCCTTTTCGAGATCACTGGGGTGCTCTTTGACCCCCTAAATGTTCAACTCTTTTCTGTGCCGAAACGACAAATCCCAAACTGGCCAATCAAAGAAGCCAAGCTCAGCGGTACGGTTGCTTCTCCTACATATTGCAAGTAAGGAACACAGCGAAGACCGCTGTATGTTTCCGCGTTTGTTATAGGTTGATTTGCATGACATGTTTAGTTTCTGCTCTTTACTAGGGGGAACCTGCAAATAACACATGGTTCACATGATAACGAAGCTCCAAACTTAGGCCAACAAGTTCAATGGGCAATGCCCTGCAAAAGGAGCATGTAGATGATTGCAACTAATTTTTACCAAAGGGCCCAGCTACAATTCAGACCGTATGAGACATGGTCAAGATTGCTTTTTCCCGAAGAGGGGGGTTGGACCAATTCGCGCCCCCCCCCACGGTTTCTATTGAAAATTGAGTAATTCATCGATGGCGATTGAAATTAATCATAGACTACAGGTCATTTTGACCGAACCTCGTATGTGTCTGATATTCTGAGGTCTAAAAACGCTTCAAGGATCCGTGACCGCTTCGGCGGTTCCTCGGGACAAATGGTCTCCACGTAGCCGCTGGCGGCGGTATAGGACTCTTCGCGCCCGCCGTGACCAGAGTAATGAAAGAACAAAGCGTCTCCTGATCCAAAAGCCGAACCCAGGCCGGTGAATTTGGCAACCGTCTGTGCACATGGAGCACCCCTGTTTGGAAGACGTGAAGGCCTGTGCACTTTTGCATGTGTGTTGGTGCAAGGTAAAAGCCCAACTCCCTCCAGCGGCCGTGGGAAAGAATAGGCTCTGCTTGTCTGTCAACTAGCCCCCTGCCAAACAGGAAAAGTGCACTGGGGGCCTGACGAACTACCCCTGGCCGGCTAGTTCAGACGCACTTTGAAAGAGTAGTAGAGTACAAACAAGTCGGCAAAAGGTCTGTACTGGACAACTGAGCACTGATAGAAACGCACCACACGCACATGTATGCAGTACCATGTATGCGTCATCTCAGCACTGTACCCATGCATAGCACATGGTAAGCACACCCGCCCACGCGCGTGTCGCTCAAATGTACTTATGTCTAGCACATGGTAAGCACACCCGCTCACGCGCGTCATCTCAGCACTGCACCCATGCCTGGCACATGGTAAGCACACGTGCACTCGCTCAGCACTGCACACATGCCAGCCAAATGGTAAGAACACCCACTCACTTCTGGCTGCGCACTGGTCTCAGCCCTGAAAAAGGGCCAATAAAGCAAGGCTGGATGGATGAAAAGATGCGCGGCGCCTAGGCGAGAGAGCGCCTGCAAGTGCACCCGTCGGGATAGATATATATATACATACATATATATATATATATATCTATTAGTGGCTGAGGAAACAAGGGCTCCTTCAGACCTTCATCATCATGGGCAAGCTCCCTTTGTTTTATCCGCCAGTGAGACCCTCTAATTGAAAAACGTGGTAAACACCGTTCTGCATAAGGTCGGCACCGCGCTCATGAAGCAGTACTAATGCCCATGCGTATGTATCAACCTGGTGGATGTATAGGGACTGCCCAAAAGTGATCCAAGTTCCCCACAAAGGAGCACCCCTAGTCACAAGCAACCAGAAGTTAATCCCTTGGCTGCTATTGAGAAGCAAAATCTGACAAACCTCTGATCCATCCGTGGCTCCCATTGGCCGCACCTCGCTCCTGTTTTGCAGCTGGCAGAAAGCGAGTGAGAAGGGGCGCCATGATTCATGGCCGTCCTTAAACTGTCCCTCAGTTGCCTGGTGGACCTGGTAGAGAAAATCAAAAGGGAACCTTTTTGGAGATCGCCATTTCAAACTGACCAAGCAAAAAGGAAAGAGGGAATGGAATCTACTGATCAACTGGGGCTCTGACCTGACTTCTCAAGGCTTCATGCAAATGCTCATATGGAAGGTCGCGAGATCGTGCTCCCTAAACCACCACCATGGCCCAACCCCTTTATTGCATCCACCCAGAGCCCCTCACAGGAAGTCGCCTATCTTCTTGCGTTGAACGGCAACGCAAGACATCATTGCCAGCAGCCACGGCACGCTCTGCTGCTGAATGCTCATCTTATCAAGCCTCGGCTTGTTGCTGTGGACAAGCCGGGAATCGCGCATCTCCTTTCGGTTTGCTTGAAGTTTGTGATTGGGAACCTGCTGTTCACTCTGGGGCACCCCCCAAACCACAAACAAAGGAAGCCAAGCAAGCGACCAAGCGCAAAGCCACAAATTCACGCATTGACTCACCACAAACCCTCATGCGGCTTAATCTGGGACCCAACAAACATGATATTTACATTATTCAAGGAATATTTACATTATTCAAGGAAACTCCTTTTGGGCACAGGACCTCTGCTGTTGGGTGCCTCCCCTTACTTTGCAGGGAAGTATTCGCGAGGAACTGTGACTTTGCAGCCTGACATTTAGAACCTGAATCAAGAACCAGGATACCAGCGAATTTCTACCATGCCGAAGCCAACCACTGGCCCCTCTAAACGAGTTTGGTCAATTGATGGTTTGAACTTTGAGCTCCTAGTTGGATGCATCAAGCTAGTCCTGGGTGAACTTACCCTGCCTGTAGGTATCACGTTGGTTGTCCCTTTAGCAAAATGCATGGCGCTGGTAAATCATCCGAGCCAAATTCCAGCGGAATCCATCTGTGATCAACCAAGCCAGGATAAACAAACACTCAGAGCAACAATTTGCCTAGTTCGAAAACCCTAAAAGTACTGCGTCTTCAAATCCATCCGAGCGGCGCGTCAGGCGGCGGTCCTTTGAAGGCCCTTCCTCCACGATAGGCCTCCTGCACAGTTTTGTCTTCTATTTTTAGGGTATCCACCAGCTTCCCAAAGGTGTTTCCTTGGCCCAACTGCATCTTTGAGACCCTGAACTTTGGGAGGGGGAGGTCGACTTGGACTCGAGCGTCCCCTATTACTTCCCCCTGAAACCAACTTACTTACGCCTCGATTTGTCCAATCTGCGGTTTCTACTACCCCTAAGCCACCAACCCCAAAGGAAGCTTGGTATATATCCTTACTTACATCGCGGCGATGCAGTGTTGGCCCAAAAAAGTCTGCACTTTTGATTTACCTCGGGGAGTGAGTACCCCCATACATCCACTAGAGGTAGATCCAGCCAAGGGACAAACTATTGACAACTGGGAACAAACAAAAACACGGCCGCGCCTCCACCTGCTCGGGCGGCAAAGGCTCCGCGTCGAATTCCTCCGCCACCTCGTTGTCATCCGTGACGGCCTCGTCGTTGAGTGCACCTGTCATGACCTACCCTGCCAAGTGGTGAAAAAGGGGACCCTTCTCGGAGTTGACGAGTGTTTAAACGTTTAGTGAAGGACAAACACACACAACAACAAAATCGTGTCACTTTTTACGGGAAAAAACGGCGGCCACAGGTCCCTGTTGAAAGAACCATCCAAGAGAGCGCCGTCCAGGGGTCCGGCGGACCCTCCGCTTTGCGCCTGCCAGGCTGAGCGGCGCCGAGCCGATGGTTGGCCCTGGCACGTGCTTGGGCATCTGCCACTGCACGCGGTCGTCCCCGGCGGTGCCTTGCTCCTGGCAGCTGGCAAAGACTTTTGGACCCCCGCAACAAGCTACCTTTTGCCGGCTAAAAGGACATTGCCAAACAAACGCATGAAAAGGCAAAAGTTGAAAAGGTAGCCTATAAGCCTGGCAATGTACCGCGTGTGAGCGGTTGGTAGGAATGCCTAGTTGTGATTCATCAACCATGGCTGCCGCTCAACTATGGAAAACAGGGCACCTTGGAGTCAACAAATGCCATGGGTTTGCATATGGACGTGTGCATTTGACCCTAGAAACCGAGTCACTATGCAATCCGTGCACTGTCAAAACATTGGGTCCACCCGAAAGCCACGGCCATACCTTTTCCCGCATTTCCTGAGCGGATCGTCGGATAAAGTCTGAACTTTGTGTTTACCGCTAAGATAGCCTTCCCTGAAACTGACCAAAGTCCAGGAAGCAGGGAGTGGGCATAATTTGAGGTCCAGCGCTGCTGGTAATGGCACCTAATAGCAAATTTGTCTCCTCCCCGAGCAAAAAAAAAAAAAAACAAGTTTCATCTTGGCTTCCTTTCAAACCGACCCCCGAAAGGTACCAAATCCAGAGGCGAGCGTCCAGGAGCTGCTGCGATTGCGGCATAGACAGCCGCACGTTCTTCTTAATGGCTGGTGGGGCGAACAGGAAAGTGGGTGCCTGCAGCGCGCACATGAGTATGTGACCAACTCTTGGGTGAGGTAGGGGCGGTGAGGTGCAACTTTGCATTGTGTTTGCCAGTACGGCTGTCTAACAAGAATAGCCCTGGTCCCCAAAATCTACGAGTTCAACATAGTTCAACGAAAACGTGCAACAATTGCAACTAGTTTGGTTCTACCAAACCAAGGTTCTGGAAGACTATCGTCCTTTTGGGGAAGCCCTCCCTCCACTTCCATGACTTTTGGAAAGATGATAAACTGAAAAATGTTGGTGTTGAGCACACCCAGAACTGAGCAGCCTGTGAACGGTAGGTAGCTCACTTCGTGTTCCCTTTTGCATAAACCAAAATCAAATTCTGACACCTGTCCATTTAAAAAGAAGACACCTGCCCCAACAAGTGCACATGTCTCCAAACATGTGTTCAAACTAGGGGGCACTTGGAGAAGCACAGGATGCTCTATAGAATGTTCTTTGACAGCCGTGCATGCACAAAGCTTGCTGTTTCAGGGTCCTTGCAGTACCAAAGCGATTCTCGTAGCATTCAGCCTGAAAAACCAGAGGGGAACAAGCGCAGCTGAGCGTGTAGCTAACGGCGTTCCAAAGATCTGGTTTCCTTGAAGTTTCCACCTCAACGCAAAGTACTGACCCGTCACGAGAACATCCAGCAAAACCCAACGGGGGAAAATAACAACTTACCCTATCGCCAGCAGGACAAGGTGTTTTGGAAGAACACCTGCCTGACAATTGGCCCTCTGTTCACTTCCATGACTGCAGAGAGGGCAAGCAAGTGGAAGCGGGTATCAAAACCGTGTCCTCCAACATGAAAGCGTAACCACTTTTAGGCAGCACTTTTTCGATTTCAGATGTCACCCTCCCATCCACCAACATGGGGGACACCGAAGGGAGGCCCTTGGAAGACAATTTCCTCTTTGGAAAAAGTAAAAACCCCAAAAAGACGAATCGTTGAACAGGTAAGCTACACCCGGCATTGTTGGGAGGCTTGAGTTGCGCAACTTCCTCGAGAAGGACCTACATCATGGTGAGCACGTTTTGCCCCCCGAGCTGGCGCTAAAGTTCCCATTATTGCCAAGGGCCCCCCAAAGAGGGCACCCCCCACGAAGCACCCTATTCATCCCTATTCGCCCCGAAAAAAGGCTAGTCGCCATGATCGGGGGAGCCTCTGCGGGGGCACTCTTGAGATCTCCATTCGGCCAGCTCCGAGGCGCCGGTGCGTACTCCGATTCGGTCACGTCCAGCTCTACCCGCGGGGCCTTTCCTGAAGCCAAGCCACCGGGCGCCCGGAAGACAATGGCTGCAAGAACTTTTGCGTGGATAGTCGTCCCAAAAACACAAGATCCGGCGGAAGAAAGCACGACATAAGAACAACAAAACAAGCTACCTGCGTT